AGTGCTTCTGCACTTAATACTCCTCGACCTCCTTCCTGAGGGGAGTGGGGCAAAAAAGTGTGTGCGCTGGGTGAGTGGGGTCCTTCATGATGCAGGTGGCCCTCTTCCTGCATCTAGAGGTGTACATATCTGTGATGGTGGGGAGGTTGACTCCAACAGACTTCTGTGCAGCCTTCACCACTCTCTGCAAAGCTTTTCTTTCTGCAGCTGTGCAGCCTCCATGCCACATGGGGTGGCTGTGGCTGAGTGGTTAGAGCAGTCATCCTCCAATGCAAGAGTTGGAGGTTTGAATCCACCAGCAGTCACATGCCGAAGTGTCCCTGGGCAAGACACTGAACCCATCATTGCTTCTGAATGTGTGTCCCATCGGTGTATGAATGTGATCCACTGATTAGTCTCTTTAGAATGATTTGTTCAATTAGCTTTGTAGAGATCAAGTCGAGTGATATATGAATGGGTAAATGAGGGCACAGATTGTAGTGTAAAGAGCTTTGTGTATCTTGATGTAACAATATGAAGGATGTGGGATGGAGGAAGAAGGGTGACACTTTCTCCACTCCCCTTCAATACATTTATTTTATTTATTTAACTCTCGTTAAAGCGGGCACCAGCTGGTCAATTAACTGACCAACAACAACTTCATTGACACATTCACCCTTTAATGATCAGAATCAGTCACTGAAGTGGAATCCGTTAATTACAGGGAGTTCTATACCATAACAAATTAATATTCATCTGAATGAAGAGACCAAAGTTGTCTTTGAAGTTTTATTACAAAAATAATCAAACTAAAAATCAGCAACAATAATAAACAAACAATAATAATGAATCAAGGCTTAATTCTCTTATCTAAGGCTAAATTGACTCTTTGAGCAGGAATTATTTCAGTTTTATACGCGCATGAATTTAGACAAAGTTTGAATATTTTAATAAATAGTTTACTTTGGATTTTGCTTGAAAGAAGTTATTTAATCTGATCAGATAAAGTCATTTATCATCACTGCAAGCCAGGAAATGATTTACCAAGTTGCATCAGCTTAAAATAGCATAACCAGACCAAGAGTTGCATCATGTCACTAGGTTCTGCTCCTTACCGGGTCAGTGTTGATGGCACCACTCGTCTTTCTGGGGTTCTCTGGTGGATCTGACCAGAGACACCATGAGGAGGACTCGCTGGGAACTGCCCAAGGTAGCTGACCGTCAATGTGACAGCTTCAGGGGTCTGTAAGGGCAACAGCTGATGACATGGTGCACCATCCATCGCAACCTTCAGCCGAGAACGTGTCGTTGAGTGAGAAAAGGCTTCATCTTCTGCAGTTATCTAAACTTCTAACAATTGTATCCAAAAAAGTTCAATCTGGTCCTCTGGACATTCAAAAAAAACAAAAGCAAAACAAAGCAAAAAAAATCTAGAAACGTTTCGTCTCTCATCCAAGAGACTTCCTCAGTCTGAGGTGCTGTATTCAGCTCAGTCTCTTAAATAGCACCTTCTTAGAGTGGATCAACCAGTTTGCTGCTGATAACCAAAACCAGCTGATCACATGCTCAAGAAGGACCATCAGCATAACAATGGGTCATTAGCACACTGATGGCTGTTTACTACTCACAGAGGGCTGAGTGATACTAGCAATCACAGCATTGTAAGAGGGGGACAGTTGAACCCGGAGGCCACCACCCCTGTTTAATGATGGACGATTTCTTTTCACAAAGATGGCCTCCTTTACTCCTCTCTCAAACCATCGTTCCTCTCTGTCCAGGATGTGAACATCTTCATCCTTGAAAGAGTGACCGCTGGCCTGGAGATGAGTGTAGACGGCAGAATCCTGGCCTGATGATGTTGATCTTCTGTGCTGGGCCATCCTTTTGGCCAGTGGCTGTTTAGTTTCTCCGATGTAAGACTGATCACAGCCCTCCTGACACTGAACAGCATACACAACATTACTCGGTTTGTGCCGGGGGACTGGATCTTTGGGATGAACCAGTCTTTGCCGTAATGTATTTTGGGGTTTAAAAGCCACTGGGACGTTATGTTTAGAAAATAAACGTCTCAGTTTCTCTGATACCCCCTCAACATACGGAATGACCACTGGTCTGGGTCTGGGTTCCTCCTTTTCACCTGATGGCTGACTGGAGTCCTGTTTGGGTTTCTTCTCTGCTTTCAGGAAGGCCCAGTTAGGATATCCACATTGCTCTAGAGCCTGTTTTGTGTAGGATTTCTCCTTCTGCCTGGCTCCCGAGCTAGTGGGGATGCTGTCTGCTCTGTGATACAGAGTCCTGATGACTCCTAACTTGTGCTCCAAAGGGTGATGGGAGTCAAACTGCAAATACTGGTCTGTGTGGGTGGGTTTGTGGTACACCTCGGTTTGCAAATGTCCTCTATCAGAGACTGAGACCTCACAGTCCAAGAAAGCCAACTTGCCATTTTTTACATCTTCTCGTGTGAACTTGATGTATTTATCCACAGAGTTGATGTGGTCAGTAAAATGTTGGACTTCCTGAGATTTAATTTTAACCCAGGTGTCGTCAACATACCTGAACCAATGACTTGGTGGTGTCCCTGAAAAGGACGTCAAGGCTCTCTTTTCCACCTCCTCCATGTACAGGTTGGCAACAATAGGAGAAACTGGAGACCCCATAGCACACCCATGTTTCTGCCTATAATATTGCTCCCCATATGTGAAGTAGGTTGACTGCAGGCACAGTTTCAAGAGTTGACACAGTTGTTCTGTGGAAAGCGTGGTCCTGCTGCTCAGAGTGGTGTCTGATTTTAATCTTAAACTGACCACCTCTACTGCATCATCAACAGGAATGCACGTAAAGAGTGATGTGACATCAAAAGAGACCATTGTTTCATCAGTCTCCATGATGACATCCCTCACCTTATCCACAAAGTCCATGGTGTTCTGTATGTGGTGTTCTGAGCTGCCAACTAAAGGGATGAGTACAGACGCCAGATATTTGGAAACATTGTAAGTGACAGAGTTAATCATGCTAACAATAGGTCTTAAAGGTACACCGTGTTTGTGCATTTTAGGTAAACCATACAGACTAGGTGTGGCCTCCCCTGGGTACAGTCTGTGGTACAGAATACGGTCAATAGCCTTGTCCTGCTCCAAATTTTTCAGGCAATCTATTAACTTCTTCTTGTAACCACTTCCTGGATCTCTTTTCAGAGGTTCATAAGTGTTTAAGTCACTAAGGAGTGTCATAACTTTCTCATGATAGTCTTTCTGGTTCAAAATCACTGTGCACCTTCCTTTGTCTGCTGGGAGAATGATGATGTTTTTGTCCTTGCTAAGAGTTGTGAGTGCATCCCTCTCCTCTCTACTGATGTTGGAAGGTGGTGGTTTGGCATTGCTGAGGCAGGATGAAACTTTGATTCTGAGCTGTTCTGCTTCACCCTCTTTCATTTTGTTGTTGCGGACAACTTGCTAACAATTGTAATTTGAGCGACATGTTTATCTGCTCAGGAGTTGAACGAGTGGACCTAAGCATGACTTCGAAGATTGGGTCCACACGAACCATCTTATGGTTCGGGACCGGAGACGAACTGCTCAGTTCGGGGGTGCAAGGCAAACTGCTTTTTACACAAAGAGACTTTGTGCAAAACAACAGCTCTGAGAAGTTTGTTTTGACTGACTAGGGAACATTGTGGCTCCCCTCTGAAGAAAACAGCTTCCAGCTCAAATAACTTTTTCACAGGTGTCTCTGAAGGAATAATCACTTTCTGAAAAACAGAACATATATGAACACATATGTTAATATGTTATTCACATTGTAATATTTCACATGATTTCACTTTAATGATTGAAAACAACAATCAAATTTATTCATGTTCACACTTGTTAATCAAATAAAACAAACTTCATTAATGATTTGTTTTTCTTTCTTAGAAACAGGAAGAAATAAGATAAACATTAGTCAGACTGTAGCTGACTCTGTGCCCAAGGACAGGAAATGTGTAGAAAAACATCAGTCATTATTGAAGTCCATCCATCCATCCATTATCTTTACCCGCTTATTCCATTTTGGGTCACGGAGGTCGCCGGTGCCCATGTCCAGCAATCACTGTGCGAGGGGCGGGGTACACCCTGGACAGGTCGCAAGTCCATCACAGGGCCACATAGAGACAAACGACACAAACAACCATTCACTCTCTCACTCACACCTAGGGACAATTTAGAGTTACCAATCAGCCTAATATGTATGTTTTTGGTCTGTGGGAGGAAACCGGAGTACCCGGAGAAAACCCACGCATGCACGGAGAGAACATGCAAACTCCACCCAGAAAGGCCCCTGGACTGGGGTTTGAACCAAGGACTTGCTCGCTGAGAGGCAGCAGCTCTACCAGTTGCGCCACCGTGCTGCCCCATTATTGAAGTCAAATGTAACTTTAAAGAACATAATTCATGGTGAGTCTGGAAGATGAATAAGGGTCAGGGGTCATAATTAGAGCAGTGAAGCTTCATGCTACATTGATCAGCTAGAAAGGCGCTATACAAGTACAGTCCATTTACATGTTCATGCTGGAGCACAGGATGCTCTCCACTGCACACCTGTAGAAGGAGGTGAGGACTGAGCTTCTCAGACCAGCTCGTCTCAGCCGCCTGAGGAAGTAGAGTCTCTGATGAGCTTTCTTGATCAGGCTGTGGTGTTGTTGCCCCAGCTGAAGTTGTCATTCAGGTGTACACCCAAGTACTTGTAGCTGGAGACCACTTCCACCACATGGACACCTTTATGTTCAAACATGGTGTTTGTGATGGACAAACTATGATTAGCACAGAAGTCCAACAACAGAACACTGCTCGAGTTCATATCAGAGATGCTGTTCCTCCCAATCATGCCCCTCCAGGTCACACTGTCATTACCCACGTGGGCATTAAAGTCTCCCAGCAGAATAAAGGAGTCCCCAGCTGGTGCTCTTCCCAGCACCCCCACCAAGAACTCCACGAAGGCCTGATACTCTGAACTGCCGTTAGGCATGTGGGCACAAACAAGAGTCAGAGCCCATCTTCCCACCTGAAGGCACAGGGAAGCCACACTCTTATCAACTGGGGAAAACTCCTACACACAGTCAGGGGGCTACAAGTAGACCCACAGCAGCTTGGCGCCTCTCACCATGGGCGACTCCAGAGTGGAATAAGGTAAATTGACTGTACTTATATAGCGCTTTTCTACCTTATCAAGACACTCAAAGCGCTTTACAACACACTCTGTACCCTCATTTACCCATTCATACAGCACTCTACTAGCTCTATACAAAGAATAATCAGAGCTTATCACATTCATACACCGATGGGATAAACATCGGAGGCAATGAAAGGTTCAGTGTCTTGCCCAGGGACACTTTGGCATGTGACTGCTGGTGGAATTAAACCCCCCAGCTCTAGTATTGGAAGACAACTGCTCTTCCTCTGTCTGTTAAGCTCTCTCTGTCAGTAGGTCAGTTTAAATCCAGACTGAAAACATCTATTTTCCCAGCCCTTCAACTTCACTTAAACCTCAAATTAGTACTTGACTGATTTGAGTTTTTGGGAAATTGTGGCAATTGAAATAGTATGTCTTGGTTTTTATTTGTATTATTATTTTATTGGTGTTTTACTGCAAATTTTATCATACTTTTATTTTTATTAAACAGTTTTTATTTTTTTTAATCATATTTTTATCTATGATGTTGTAATTATTGTGAAGCACTTTGGTCAGATGTGGTAGTTGTAAATGTGCTATATACATAAATTTTGACTTGACTTGGCTAACCACTCAGCCACAGCCACCCCAATAAGGTCCAGCCCCAATAAGGTCCAGCCCCAATAAGGTCCTGCCCCTCAAGAAGGTTGGTTCCAGAGCCCATGCTGTGCGTCAAGGTGAGCCCAACTACATCTAGTTGGTACCTCTCCACCACATGAACAACCTCAGGCTCCTTCCTCATCAGAGAGGTTACATTCCATGTCCCAAGCCTCTTGTTTTTAACCTTGGTAGTTTTAGTTATTTAAAAACATTCAGAGGGCTAGGGAAGACTGTTGGAAGTTTGTGAACCACCTCTACAGCTGTTAGTTATCAGTAAAATGCTGTTCTATTCACACATCATTCTGTCAGTCAGTACTGTGCCACAGTACATTTCTAGAACTATCAGACGTTGGAACTTACATGTCTGGAAAAATAATAGAAGCTGACCATCATAACGAAGACCATAAACGTCATTGCGAATTTGGAAGGAACCATATACAAACTGCAAAAAAGAAGATTGAAATGTTAGTTTATCTAGCAATACAACCATGTCAGTGACACTGACAATGTTTCAGTGATAATTCAGGTTTATTTCTCATAACGTGACGTCTGAAAGGACAAACACATCTGGATCATCAGCCTCTGCATAAAGCTCCGTCTCTTTTTAGAAAAAAAAAACAAAAAAAAAACTCTTTGACTGTCTGTCTGGAGGTAAGTTAACCCTGAGGTGTTTGTCAATAAAACTGTGCTGATAAGAATCCAGTATTTGTTGCTTGTTTAATGCTTTTAAAGAACGCGAGGAGCTGGAACTCCAGCTCCTTTTTTATTTGCATCATTTATTGTCCTAGTTGTGAGGCACCTAATCCAGCAATTTACTACCAGATTGAAGTGCAGAGTATCCAGTTTTGAGGCAAATATTTATGACCACTGCTGATCAAAGATTTCCAGCGTTACACAGAAAAGCTTTCATAAGAAGCCAGTATAAAGTGGTCGGTAAGCAGGTGCTGTTTGTGCGACTCCTCATGACTTTTAATTTTATACGTCAGAGGCGGAGACTACAAAGTAACATGATTATATCGCAACAAAACCAATGGTACTTTGAAATTAAACTGAATTTTCCTTTTCAGAATGAAATAAACCTCTGACTTAAAACTGATGTTCTAGAATTCAGTGTGCTGTTAGCATTTACCTGTAATTCTGGAAACGGATCATGTCGTAGCGGTCAAAGATGTCCCTCCAGCTGTAAATGTTAACAATGCCAGTTGTTATTGTGATGAGGAGCATCAGTGTGAGCTTCACCATGTGACTGACTTGAACCAGCATGGTAGTGGCCATGAGTGCTAACACAGCAATGTAGCTGTAATACTTGGGGTTGTTCAGGCAACCTTCGAGGTTGTATCGGGAGGACGAAGAAGAGGAGGGGGCCTCTGTGGGGCTGTCTGGCTCTGAGGCACGAGACAGACAACTTAACTATATGTGGAAAAAAAAAACAAAATCATGTCCTGTAATTTACATTAATACATCTCATCTGTTTTCACTGATACGTCAGCAGCAACATAAACATTTTGACATTTTCTGTAAAGTTTCCAAGTTTCAAATTTAAATGTATACAAGTAGTCCAGGTACTAAACAAGGACACTGGGTAAACTTCCAATCCAGTACAAAATCCTCATACTGATTTAAACTGGTGTTTTTTGCTGGTTAAAGCAGCTCACCATATCTATGAGGTCTGCCATAATCAGGATGAAAATGGCTGCCATGGCCCAGGAGTTTCGAGCCCAGCGAGTGTGGTCAATCCAAGTGGAGAAGGAGACCAGCTTCTTGGGAAACACCTAACAAAAACATTTCATATTTACATTTTGTCATTTGTTCCCCAACATTAAACACATTAATCAAGTCTCTCTTGTAAACGAGTCCTCGAGGCTCAATGGGATTAACCTGTCTAAATAAAGGTTGAATGAATTAAACAGAAACTATTCAGGAGAAGCTGAAGATCAGTGGAGAGCACATTCTCACTAAAACTATAACTCCCAGAATGCATTGGAACAGCTAGCTGTTCCTTCAGTAAAGGTGTGCCCAGTTTGTTTTCTGTTTTAAGGATTTTAAGGATGCATATTTAATTGGATTTTCGATAACTGGTTCCTGCTTTTTGGATTCGGCTGGTTGCTGGGTTTATCTACAATCAAGGAAGTCGTTGGCAGCAAATTTGGACCCGATCACGCTGCTTGCTTTTATGATAATGGCTTGGTTCGTGTCTCGAGTACCCGGACTCAAACGCTTTGGGCTGAATGGATCAGATCTTGGGGATTTTACTCAGTCACGTTCCAACGGCGTGGCCATGTATTTTGGACATTTTGGAACCGAGTCGACCAACACAGACTCAAGGTAGATGTCATTAAGTTCGGCCTGTCCCCACAACAACTGTGTGTTTATCTGAATTTGGCTCCCTTGGCTGACCTTGAAGGTCATCTTATCTGAATTCGCCTGGAGAACATGTGATCTGACGCTCACCACCCCCTCCCTGAGGAATTTCCAACTGATAACCAGATGAAACCATATAAATAAACTTTGTGTCATCATTTCAGGACTCTTGGATTCTCATAGTTGTTATTATTGGTCATTCCTCGACATACCTCGAGAATGTTTATGGATCTCACTGGAGGACATTGACTGATTATTCCATCCTTATCAAAACTCTTACAGTGACCTCGAGAACATTGCTGACCGCTCTCGTCTCCCCTGTCTGCAGAATGTCTACGTCACTATGTGCTGTTTGTGCAAGGTGCTTTTTTAATATTAGTTTTTTAGTTTTTTTTCTCAGGCAGGAAAAAAAAAAGTCTGATAGGAATTTTTTTTGCCTCCAACTCCTACATGTGTCCAGTTAACCACTGTTTTTGTCTGTCCGAACAGGTCTCACTTGTAAATGAGTCTTTGAGGCTCAGTGTGATTTATCTGTTTAGATGACGTTTTTTCTTTACATTTGACACTGGGCGACAGCATTCTTGCAAATATGTAATACGTCTTTAGTTGTACATGTACATTATGATCACAGTTCTAACTGTTTTAACGTGAATAATATAAACAAATGGATAGAGTTAAGGGCTGTTTAGATAGCATACTGGGAAAAAATTAAATCACAAAAATTATCTTTCTTATTTAAAGCCACTTGAAACAAGATAAATAAAAAAAGACTAAACATAAATAAAATGTTAACAATTGTTATAATAAATATAAATAAAAGCATCTGTGCAGTTTGAAAAATTATTCACCACCTTCAACATTTTCCTTTTTACTGCCTTACAACTAATAATTTAAATGTTTTTTTTTTTTGTTTGATTATAATAATAACTTCAGAATAATGGATCTAAACCAGAGGAAAACCTGTCTTAAATACTAGTAATTTTTTCCTCCTTTCGGCTGCTTCTTCTTCAGGGGTCACCACAGTGAACTAACTCACACGAAGACTTGGTGATTGTTTTTACGCCAGATGTCCTTCCTGACTCAACCATAGACACTGAGCTATCACAGCCCTCTATGTAGAGCAAAGAGCTGCTATCTAGGGCACCTGGGGGAGTTGATTGTGAGGGCCTTGATCAAGGGTCCAGAGTGGGGCAAATGAGGGTGGAGGCAGGTGTGGGTGCTTCACCTTTCCCTCCCACATTTTGATGTTGTCAGTCCGGGGAGTTGAAATGATGACCTTCTGAACACAGGGCCACCTTTTCTAACCTCTTCACCACCACTCCCCTTATGACAGTGCTTCTCAATTATTTTCTGTTACGCCCCCCCAGGAAGAAGTAAACATTTCATGCCCCCGCACTCTCTGCTGCGACTGTAAATAGTATCATTTTTCTATAAAACTGTTATAAGTACACCTCTGCATAACACTGTGTCCTTATTAACGTTAAATTTAAAAAAATGAAAGAAATATAGATCAACTTACAACAAAGATTATTAGTCTGTAACAGAAAAGGCTTAAAGTGCATCAATTTGTCTGAAAAAAAATCTTATTTAAACTGTAAACATTTTTGACCATTTGATACAGAAAAATCAAATTCAATACAATCAACAAATAATAATAAATTCAAATTGATCAGCATTATAGGTTTTTGAAAGTGGAAATCTGAGGCCTCCTCCTCTGTTAAGAGACGGCTTTTCTCTTTTAACATAAGGCCCTATTTACATGGACACGATGGGGGGAAACATAGGTTTTTTCGTATGTTAATTAGAGAAAAAGATTTGCGTTGACACGGTCGCATTTTGGGTTTACATGCATCCGGAGGATTCCCCCCCACCCTCCCGAATCCGCTGTAGTTACCATGCCAGGTCATTAGATGGCGCTGTGAATTTTGTACCTTCACCTAATGCGCATGCGTGCTGCCTCGGCATGCTGTTTTCCTCTGGGCTAACCGGCTAACAACAACAACGTAACGTAACAACAAGTTAAGGCTAGATTCTGGCTGGATTTTAGATAAGAGTCGACAGATTTGACGCCAAGCAGGACCGCTTTGTCTAACAGCTCCACACCGGTCGCTGAGTGGATCAGAACTGAGTTGACAATGTCAGACTTTACTCCGTGATAATCAGTAGCTGTTTTACTGCAGGTAAATCAACGTTCTTAATAATGTTAGTTTGTGTTTACTTAGGTTACAAAACAACAGAGTTTTCATTTTTTCCTGAAAGAAGAAGAAGCTGTCCTCCCACCAGGCGGACCGGTTCTGAACAAGGCTCGGCCCAAGTGCAGTGTAGAAGGATGTCGAAGAAAGATGTTGGATGAACTATTTATTTTAAATTCTCCTCATTTCTTTTAGTCAATCCATTCAAGTTCAGTTAACGTGTTTTAATAGTGTGTTCAGTTTAATTATCAGTGTTTGTGTGACATACAGTTTGTGGTGTTGAATAAATAAATAAAAATTAAACATGATGTCTTCATTTTCAACTTTAGTGTTCATGCTATATGTTTAGCATCATTTTAAATTTGAATTACATAATGTCCAGATAGCTTAATTTAGCTTAGAGCTTCATTATCTCTCACACTAACATAAATACTGTTTATTATTATTAAACTGTTGTTATCTAGCACTTTTATGTTATAGTGCAGCACGACGTGTGCGCGTGCCACATTCTATAAACATCGACATTAGAACTGGACCAGACTGTGTCTCTTCCAACACAGATGTCGGTCACAGCACCTGGAATCTGACTTAGATTAACTATGAGATTAAAATATATTCCATCAGTCGAGGTTCTGAAAGTAGTGCATCCGCCACCATGTTGATAGAAATATAGCGTCTGTCCACGCGTGCGTGCGCGCATGTGGTTTAACACAAAGCCTCAGCGGGAGATGTTTACATTATCAGCAGGGGGTCAGCGAAAAACCTCCACTCTGGAAGGTGGGTTCAGAAACCTCCGGATTCAAAGAGGAGGGGCCACTGGTGTCGTGTAAATGATCAGCAGAACCACAGAGAGAAAGCTGCGGATGCACTCAAAATACGCGCCGTGTAAACGGCCCCTAAATTGCTTCCTTCACCCCCCTCTCAAACCATCTATAGGTATGTTTACATGGACATAAGTAACCGGATCAAATGGCCGGTCGGAATAAAAGTGTGTCATGTAAACACTACGTTCGGGTTATTTTTTGTGTATTCGGCACGATCTGATATAATTTGTGATCAGAACGAAACGGGTGGTTTACGCCGATCCGTAACCCGATCGGTGCGCATGTAAACGCTTGATCTGTTCGTTTTTATCTGATCGTGAAAAACTGACCTGACTGCGCATGTGCGACTTTGCCATTTGACAAAAGCCAAGTCAAGTCAGCGAGGAAATCTACAATACACACTAATAAACAGAAAAAGGAGAACAACAGACGTAAAAACATTGTCATCCTTTATGTTGCTGGAGTATCAGAGAAATTCAGAAGGATTTTCAACAAACACAACATCCCAGTACATTTCAAACCCAGCAGGACTCTCAGACAGAGGCTGGTCCACCCTAATGACAAAACACCCATACACAAACAGAGTGGTGTAGTGTATGCGGTCCAGTGCAGCGAGGACTGTCCAGACCTCTACATTGGAGAAACTAAACAGCCTCTTCACAGATGCATGGCTCAACACAGGAGAGCCAGCGCCACAGGACAAGATTTAGCTGTTCACTTCCGCCTCACAGAGAAGGGACACTCTTTTGAGGACCCAAATGTGCACATTTTGGACCGAGAACACAGATGGTTTGAGAGGGGGGTGAAGGAAGCAATTTATGTAAAAAGAGAAAAGCCATCTCTTAACAGAGGAGGAGGCCTCAGATTTCCACTTTTAAAAACTTATAATGCAACTTTAAGATGATTCCCAGCCAGTTTTCACACCTGATGGGAACAGAGGGGTCTCATCTGTGAATTAGAGTAACAAAGACTTTAAGAAGCACCCTACTATTAACATGTTTAGGTGTGAATTGCCAATCTACATATGTGTGTGTGTCTTATCTCGCTCAGTCTTATAACCTGAATCTCTCAATCACTGCTCATTGAATTGAGAAAGCTCCTCGAATGAGGAGCGAAACGTCTTCTGTTAAAAATAAAGTCCAGTTGTTTTTGTATTGAACGCTTTTTGAATTCATCATGTCCTGGATGACTGAGAGTCTTCACCAGCATATGTGAACGTTCCTGTAAAGTGCCCTGAGAGAACTTTGTTGTGATTTGGTGCTATATAAATAAACTGAATTGAATTGAAAATACCTGCTTGTCCCTGGCTTTCAGCAGAGTGGCATGAATCATTCTTCTGTAATAAATTTGTTCATTTGAAGATAAAACGTAGGTCCAAATGTTCATGTACAAATCCAACAAAGTTAAGTCAGGTCCTCTGGACAGTTTCTTTTTTTGTTGTTGAAACATTTTGTCTTTCATCCAAAATACTTCTTCAGTCCGAGGAGCCACAACAAACTCAGTCCCATAAGCAGCACACTCACATAGTGGGCCAACCAGTTTGATGGTGATAAGATGGTTTCTGGAGTCCACCCTCTCCCCCGTTGACTCCTCTGAGGCAGCAATGGCCAAAGTAGTTCAGAACATTAAAGTTCATGCTCAATAATCCAGGTTATAAATCCAACAAAGTTTTTTTTTCCTTTGTTTAAAAAAATAAATAAATGAAATAAAAATGAAAAAAAAGAAATCGTCCAGAGGACCTTACTTAACTTTGCTGGATTTTTTTACCTGGATTTTTGGAATGAACTTTGATGTTTGTGTACAAAGTTTACAAAACTGTTCAATTATATCATGTACAATACAAGTGCATGTTGGTATTATTTGTGAAAATGAAACTTTTCTTTGTTGCTGTCACTGCACCAAGTCTCTTTTGTTAAATGGGGGTGAAAAAAAATCAACCTATCCTGGACCAGGAGGTGCTTGCTGCTCCCTCGCCCCAGGTACAACTGTTGACTGGGGCGTTACATTTAAGGACCAGATTTGTTTACAGGGATAATTGCTATGAGTCACGTTTATAATGTTTTGGATGTGATTCACTATCTGTTGGAGTGCTCTTAAAACACACACACACAAGCGCGCGCGCGCACACACACACACACACACACACACACACACAAACTAGTTTTTTCTTAATGTGATGTAGCAGCAACACTGGTTGCATTTTGCTCAAGAATACCTGACCACAAACACCGTAGATTGCAGAGCTCAACCGGAAACATATGACCAAGATGGGTTTATTTAGATCAAGTGATCACAAGCTTTCTATTCAAAGGTCCAAATCTGATTTCTAAAGGTCAACAGTTCAGTACACCTAGCAACAAGTTCTTCTAAATTAAATTTGAAATTAAAAAAGTGTTACCTAATCCACACACCACCCTAAACTTGTAAAATTTTGGTGAAGCAAAATTGATTTAAATTATTACAAAAGGTCAGACAAACCCAGGATAAATGAATAACATTAAAAATCTAACCACATTTTGTTTTTGAATTAACAAAATTAATTAAATGCAACTTTAAAATCATACATTTTTAGCTGCTTTATAAAAAAACAAGAATCCACAAATCTGAAGCTTAACATCCAACAAGTCAAACTTGTGCAACATCTGTAGTTTAAAAATGTTTTGTGGGCTTTAAAACAATCAAGTATATAACTAAAAACCATCTGCATAGCAGTGATAAGAGATGTCTTTAAAGGTAATCACTGGAGTGGAAGCAAACATAAAAAAACAGTAAGGGCTCTAAACCAAAACCTTGTGGGACACCAGGTTTTTTGCCATATAAGTCGCAGTCTTTTGCATAATCTGCATGCCCTGCGACTTATACACCGAAGCAACGTATTTATAGATTTTTCCTATATCTATAAACCAAGTTTTGGCTGAGATATGACCATTTTCATTCATTCAGACTGAAAATATTGAACACTACCATTTTCAGCCGCTAGATGGCACTTGAGCAGTATGGCATGCCATTGTATAATGTAATACTAACCACTGCACCCTGTATTCACTGGTTAACTGGACATCATTAACTTCACGTAGTCTCTCACTGGTACATTTTCATCTTTAAATCACTTCTTGGTCTGCTGCCCTCATACGTCTCCTCCTACATGTCTCTGCGTGAGTGCAGCTATGGAGTGCGCTCTCAGGACATTATTACCTGCAGTGTTCCCTCAGTGAGGACTGAACTTGGCAAAAGGGCCTTCTCCTACTCTGCTCCTGTTTCCTGGAATATCTTACAAAAAGATTTGAAGCTCTCGACCTTGACCTCTCTAAGTGGCTTTAAGAATCTGTTGGACTCCTGGCAGGGACCAATGCAGACATGTTCCTGTTTTTAGTTTTCTACATTTGCCTGTTTTTTAGCTGTTTTTTGTTACTTGTTTAGCCATCATATTTGTAAAAATAAAATAAAATAAAACAATTGTATGACTTTTTACAACTGTTTATTGTTGCTGTTGTCCATTGTTGTCATCATTCTTTGTTGAAATCAGGTCTCTCTTGTAAATTAGTCCTTGAGACTCAATGGGATTTACCTGTCTAAATAAAGGTTGAATGAAAAATAGGTAAAAGTGGCTATCAATGACACAATCGGCTTGCCATAGCCTCCCACCTTCGTTTTGCTCGCTGCTTGGAGCAACCGTCAAATCAGCTTCATTTTGCTGCGCCGCCCCGGCAAAATGTAGCTAACTTGACCATTGAAGTGCATTTATTAAGTAAAATTTCAACTGAGACATACCTTTACTATAATGTCGAGCAAACAAATAATTGTTTGAGGTGTTTATCTTGTTAAATTTCGAAGAAATGCGCAGCTTCTCCTTCCTGATTCCTCCCTCTCTGTGCGCTCCCGGAGCACCGAGGCAGAGGATGCTTTTGAAATACAGCTGATTTGACCGTTAAAGTCCTTTTATTAAGTAAAAGTTCAACTGAGACACACCTTTACTATAAAGCCGAGCAAACAAATAATGTTTTAGGTGTTTATCTTGTTAAAATTCGAAGAAATGTGCAGCAATTTGTCCCGCTTCTGCAAATCGAGTTTTGAAATGCAGCTGATTTGATCGTCAAAGTGCATTTATTAAGCAAAAGTTAGACTGAGACACACATTTACTACAATTTTGAGCAAACAAATAATTGTTTTTAAGTGTTAATCTTGTTAAATTCTTGTTAAAGTACTCCCACGCATGCTCCTGCGGCCGCCATTTGGCAGCCAATTGATTTTTGGCACAACACCGGCCCACATTTCCGGGTTGTCAGTGGTGACGCGTAACAAACACGATACATCAGCGGTGACGCATAATAGCTGTGACGTATACAGCAATGTATTTATGGATTTTTTTCACTTTATTAGACATATTTGGACTGATGCGACTTATAGGGCAGAGCGACGTTTACAGCGGAATATACAGTAATAAGAAATAATCACAGAAAATTATAATTCGGACAAATATCACATCATGTCAAATTTAATATAATGGTTAGCTGTATGAAAAGGTAAGGCCAACTCAATTCAATTCAGTTTATATAGGTCCAAATCACAACAGAAGTCATCTCAGGGCACTGAACAGAAACATTCATATACATATAAAGTCAGTTAATAATATTATTTAGCTGAGGAGCAGGAGATTGCTTTGAGGTCAGGTCAGATATGAGTAAAGACAGAACAATGTCCTCATGAAGATATTGTCAGAGACAGTTGGCCGTACAGATGCAAACACAGTGTATTGTAGATGCTCAGTCTCAGGTTTATTTCTTTTTAGTGATTTGCTTTTATTTAGTTGGTGTAATGCCACGCAGTCCTTCAGTGAACTGGGCCATCAGAGTATATTAGAGTTGATGTTTCCAGTTCAAATACAAGTTGATAAAGTTTCAAGCTCTGAGTCGTCTTAGTTTTGGGGTTTCTATCTGGAGATAGGGCTACACAAACAAAATGTAAATAAAGTAAAGATGTGTGTTTGTAACTTACTCTGGGAAAGATGGCAGCCATAGAGCAGATGGTCAAGATGAGTAGAAGCACCTCTCCTATGACAAAGGTGATGTAGTTTGCAACCAGCCTGTTCGAAAAGAAAAACCAGTATAAATCTGATTATCAATGTTTGACAGTGAGAGCAATTAGAACATAAAATATAATTATGCACAAAATAGTGCTATTGAGCTGGAGCAAAGGTCTTTCATTCATATTATTACTTTTAAACATTCTGACTACACAAGTGAGGAAATGAGTCCTGAAGCTGTGAACTGACCAGGGGTCTATGAGTGCTTCCATAACTGAAGTGAAGAGAAGAACCACACAGGAGCAACAGAAGGCAGCTCCGCTCTGCTTCTCCTTCTCAACAGAGAAACGAGTCTCCATATCTGGATCCACAAATCTCAGGGACAGCTTGTTGGTGTGTTTTCCCTTCAGACTGTTGAGAAACCAGCACCTCAGCACTTACAACAAATAGTTCTTATCTTTGATAATTTTCTGTCACATCAATATTATTATGAGCATCGCGAGCATGGAAATTATACACAAATTAATAAATCCAGGCGCTTGTCATAATATTAGAATATCATGAAAAAGTTTATTTATTTCAGTAATTCCATTCAAAAAGTGAAACTTGTATATTATATTCATTCATTACACACAGACTGATATATTTCAAATGTTTATTTCTTTTAATGTTGATGATTATAACTGACAACTAATGAAAACCCCAAATTCAGTATCTCAGAAAATTAGAATATTGTGAAAAGGTTCAGTATTGAAGACATCTGGTGCCACGCTCTAATCAGCTAATTAACTCAAAACACCTGCAAAGGCCTTTACATAGTCTCTCAGTCTACAAAACGGATTCCAAAAATGTTGGGACACTAAACAAATTGTGAATAAAAACTGAATGCAATGATGTGGATGTAGGATTTCTGATTCTGTCTGACACACTCACTCTCTTTCACAGCAGCAGCAGTTTCCACAATCAACCACCACACACCTGCACCTGATTCTGAGAGACGATGCTGGAGGAACTTAAAAGCCTCAGCCAGACACTCCTTCGATGCCAGAACATTACCAAGCCACTGTGACTTCCTAGTCCTGGACTCCACTCAGCCTTCTTAGGCCTTGGTGTATCGTGGATTCTCATTCACCGGGATTCGTGTCTCTACAAGGAAGCCACTCTTGAAAACTACAACCAGGAAAAGGAACTTCTACTAACCTGATCCTCTCTCCAACGATCCTCACCTCTCAGCCAAGAACCTCCAGTAGAACCAAGGACTCTTCTCCCCTCACAGGCTCAGCCCCAACAAGGACTTGTTTTCAGTAAGAGAGAGAATTTACTATCATTTCCTTTAAGAGGTTTCAACTTAACAATTCCATTACTCAACATTGTCCTCTTCTCCCTCAACAGCCCCGCACTTGTAAATAAAGATTATTTTTGATAACTCTGTTTCTGTTTTTCTGTCCGGTCTGCCGCTTGGGGTCAAAACATACTACAAACATGACAGAATGTTCCGGCCAAACTGACCCCCAAGGCAAGACTGAACAGGGACAATTTCAGCAGTCTATCCTAGCCCAAAACAGACATATTGATCAACATGATTTAACCCTCCAAACTGTTATGTCTCAACAACAAACTGTACAGAATAACCTCCAACAGCTTGGAGGAATGATCCAGTCAATTGAACAGAAGCTTTCAACCTTTCTTACCAACGCTCAGTTCGCCAAGCCAGCCACCCCCACCGGTACCGGTCCATTTTGGTCCGACAACTCCCCGAGAACCTGACATCAGACCATCTGAATGTTTTGAAGGTAATGCCAGCAAATGCGGTGTTTTTTTTTTTTTTTTTTGCCAAAATATCTTTATTGAATTTTATCAGGTTTAACAAACACAACTCTAACATTCTACAAAAATAATATAGCAATGTATTCAAACCAAAATACTAAAAGCCAAAACAAAACAAACAAAAAACAAAGTGCCCCTCACAAGATTCTGATCATATTGCAACCTATTTCAAACTCCATATATCTTCTCCATATCAAGGTGTCAATACAACAATGTATACGCGTATATCTTAAGAGAATTTGTTTAATTTAGAAACTGCAGTGCACACCTCTTTCATTCGCTTGTACTATCTTCTGACATGTTTAAGTCCTTAACATACCTAATGAAGGGGTTCCAGACACACTCAAACAAGTCCTGTTTTCCCTTTAATACATATGAAATCTTTTCCAGAGGTAGAGCAGATAACATCTGTCGGATCCATTGGTTGGCAGTCAGTCCATGAGTCTTTTTCCAAAACAACAATATACATCTTTTCCCATTAAGCAAACTCAAGTTAATAAATATCCGTTCATTTTTAGTGTAATGATGTTTTTCTGGGTACAGTCCAAATAAAAACAGCTTGGGATCCAGTATTATTGGTTTGGAGATGATTTCCTCAATTATATCCTTTATCTCTTTCCAAAACAACATAATTTTTCTACAGTACCACATACAGTGAGCCAGAGTCCCTTTGTCTTCTGTACATTTTGAACATACATCAGGTATCTCCCTGTTAAACCTGTTAAGATCTACTGGTGTTATGTAAACCCGCATTAACCATTTGAATTGGATCATTTTAAGACCTGTATTGATAGAGCTAGTGTGAGCCAGAGTACATGCTGCTTGCCAATCTTCCTCAGATAACTCTAACAATAAATCTTTCTTCCAAGCCTTAAGTCTGTCGTGAGATCCTTCAGAAACATGCAATATTAATGAATGGTAAAACTCAGATATATTACCTTTTTTCAAACTGTCTTTTGTCAACATTTTTTCTAAAGTTGATTTGGCAGGCTTCGTCAGCTCATTATTTTGACTCATTTTTATGAAGTTTCTGAGTTGAAGATATTTAAAAAGTGTTTCTTATCTAAGTAAAACTTATTTTGTAGATCCTGAAAGCTCATCAGTATGTCTGAGTCTGGTAAATAAAAATTATGAATTGTTTGGAGTCCTTTATCTTTCCACAGTTTAAAAGTTGCATCGGCTCTACCTGGTATAAATAATTGATTACCCCACACTGGACTAAACTGAGATAAACAAATTGGTTCATTTAAAAGTTTCTTTACGTCTCTCCATACCCTTATCATATTTTTAAGAAATGGGTTCTCAGTCTGTTTTAGCAGTTTAGTTATTGAATTTGAATATAAATATGAGGGGAGGGTCAATTTTAATCCATGAGTTTCCATATCAGTCCAATGTGGAGAATGATTAGTGTAATAAAACATCATAGACCTCAACTGCACAGCACAATAGTATAGATGAAAATTTGGACACTTCAATCCTCCACGATCATAAGGAAGGTATAGCAGGGACAAACGAAGTCTTGACTTCCTATTGTTCCATATGAAATGTATCATCTTCCTCTTTATTTGCGAGAAAAATTCAGGAGGAGGTGGGAGGGCAATGTTCTGAAATATATAAAGCAACTTTGGTAATACATTCATTTTTATTATATTTATTCTTCCCATCATAGATATTGGCAGTGACATCCATCTTTCAAATGAATTATCAACTTCGTTCATTATGGATTTATAATTGGTCTCAACTACTTGTTTAAGTTCTGGGGAAATATGAATTCCCAGATATTTAAATTCCGTCACCATCTTAAATTGTGTTATATCTGAGGTTGGGCTAACTCTCTCATTTGAATTTAATAACAGAATAGAAGACTTGTTTTTATTGATTTTATAGCCCGATGTCTCACTAAATAATTTAATTATTTCCAAAATAATTGGTATTGATCTGCTTAATTTTGATATGAATAAGATCACGTCATCTGCGAACAGGGAAATCCTGTGTTCTGTATGTCCAACGGTGATTCCACTAAGATGGGGGTGTGTGCGTACTGCAATAGCAAATGGCTCTATTGCCAGGGTGAACAGCAAAGGAGATAATGGACAACCCTGTCTGCAGCCCCTTCTGATATTTATTGGTTTAGATATATTTCTATTAGTTATCATTTCTGCTGAGGGATTATTGTATAATATTTTAATCCATTTTACAAAATTATTTCCACATTCAAATTTTTCCAGAACCTGAAAAAGATATGACCAGTGAACCCTATCGAACGCCTTTTCAGCGTCTAATGATAAGAGAGCTGAGTCTGATGTGCCTTTGTTATAATGAATTATATTTAATACTCTCCTCACATTATGAAAGCCTTGCCTCCCCATAACAAATCCATTTTGATCATGGTCAATTGTATTTGGTAAAACCTTTTGTAAACGTCGTGCTAACATCTTGGAGATTATTTTCAGATCTGAATTTAGTAAACTAATCGGCCTAAAATTTTCACATTTATTTGGAGATGTGCCTGGCTTCGGCAAAAAAGTAATCATGGCAGCATTCATTGAAGGAGGAAGACGGTTTGTGTGGAAAATTTCTTTAAACATCTCTAACAGTGGGGTCAAGAGTTTGTCTTTAAAAGTTTTGTATAAATCTATCGGAAGACCGTCCGGTCCTGCTTTTTTTCCAGATTTCATATTATCTATGGCTTGACCTAATTCTTCTTTTGTAATTTCTAAATTTAAATCGTCTTTGTTTGCTTCTGAAATTTTAGGCATATCTAAATTATTTAAAAAAGTATTTATGTCATCTAATTTTATACTCGTTTGTACTTTATACAATTCTTCATAATAGTCCTTAAAAGTAGCATTTATTTCTTGGGGATCTTGCAAAATTTGTCCTTTTGATATAATAGACGTGATTGGCTGTTTAGTTTCTAATTGTTTTATTTGCCATGCCAACAACTTGCCTGCTTTATCACCTTGTTCATAAAATGTTTGGCTGAGTCGCAGAAGACTTGATGCAGCTCTTGAAGCTGAATATTTATCATATTCTGCTCTCAAGATCAATAATTCTTTTTCTAGTTCTGGATCATTTCCCTTATTTACCTTAGCTTGGATTATTTTTATTTTATTCTCCAATTGTAGTCTAGTTTTTTCAGTTTGTTTTGTTTTAGATCCTGTATAACTAATAATATGTCCTCTAAAGAATGCCTTAAATGCTTCCCATTTTATACAGGCTGTTGTTTGTGTAGTATTAATTTGAAAAAATTCATCAATTTGTTTCCCTAAATATTCCACAAGGTTTTTATCTTGTAGCCATTTATGTTGAAACTGCCATCTCGGAGGGTCTCTTCTTAATTTATTTTCTTTATAAACCAAATAACATGGGGCATGATCTGAAATTGCAATATTGTCATAGGAGCAATCTTGAATTCTAAATTGTATTTCTTTAGAAATAAAAAAAAAATCTATTCTGGAATAAGTTTTGAAAGTACTTGAATAACAGGAGTAAGCTTTAGTGTCTGAATTTTTCTCTCTCCACACATCCACTAACTTCAGCTCTTTCATCAATCTGTAAATTGCAGCCCTGCAGT